TATTTAAATAAAAAGAAAGAACAGGAAGATATATAATCCGGTGTTCTTATACATATTTTTATTTTTACAAAATAGTGCTCAATGTAAATTTACAGAGCATTAATATTATAAATTAATTGATTTAAAATATGTTTTTTTCGCTACACAGTTCTAATCATGTTTAAAAAACGTAAGCTGAAAGCTCAGAATTTAATTTTGTAATTAAATTAAAAAACATTAGTTCCATTTCATCCTCAAGCAAATTTTGGAGTAACTTTTAAAATTACTGGGTTTTAAAGACACAGCAAAAATCATAATTCACGTTTCCAAGGATACAGAGAAATCCAATTCAACCCGACAAGGGTGTTTACGTATTCATTATGTCTGTATTTTGATGTATCAGTTATTAGTTACGTTTTGGTAGGGGTAGAGATGTATTTTTCAATGAAATCTGACATCCGTTAAATGCATGTCGTCTGGATTGTTTAAAAATTCTATTGTTAACGGCAAAAATTCTTACGGCATTTTTTCTATTTTTTATATTTAAAGATTTTTGGTGGGTGTTTAGGTTAGGTTTTATTTAACTACGATTTGAAAAATATTTTCACTTTTAATTTTTAATATACTATATTTCTTTTAAGAACAAGTAAATTTATTAGAATCCCTTACAGTATGTAGAATTATTTTCACATCAAGTATAAGTATGTATATTATTAGGTAACAATTGTTTTTTTGATTATATTTAAATATTATTTAAGTAAAATTTATGACAATGACGGCAAAAATGGCTAATTAATTTCACTGATTTAGTAAACTTTTATTTTTTATATAAACCTAGTAATATATTGTTCCTCATGTAAGTACAAAGGACATGTCATTCAATGGCTTACATCTAGCTTTTCATATTAATTTCATTTTACTGTAGATGTTTTATTGGATTCTTTTAAGTGCTTGCAGTACTTAGAGGGAGGTCTTTAGGTTAGAATACGTTTTATTTAATTTCAATTTTAAAAGATGTTTAGGTTAGATTTCGTTTTATTTAATTAAAATTTTAAAGACAACTTTAAAATATATTCACTGTTATTTTTAATAGACTATATTTTTAAAAGAAGTAAATGTATTAGAATTACTTACAGTAAGTAAAATTATTTTCCATATCAAGTATAAGTATGTCTATTACGATTTTTTAAATTTTTATATTTAAATATTATGTAACTAAAATTTATGACAATTACGGCAAAATAGCTAATTCATTTCTCTGCTTTAGTAAACTTTATTTTTTTTTATAAACTTAGTAATATATAGTTTCACATGTATACATGAGAAACTATATATTACTAAGTTTATAAAAGATAAAAATTTACTGAATCAAAGAAATGAAATAGCTATTTTATGCCGTCATTGTCAAAAATTTTCCTTAAATAATATTTAAAAATAAAAATAAATTTAAAAAGTGCGACCAGGTAATGTACGTACTTATATTTAACGTGAAAAAATAATTTTATATGCTGTAAGTAATTCTATTACATTTACAAAAAAAATAGTCTATTAAAATAACAGAAAATATTTTAAAGTTGTATTTAAAATTGTAGTTAAAACGAATTCTAACCTAAACATCTTTTAAAATTGTAGTTAAATAAAACGTATTCTAACCTAAACATCTTTTAAAATTGTAGTTAAATAAAACGTATTCTAACCTAAACAACCTCTCTCAAAGTACTACTGGCACGTAAATGAATCCACTAAAACACCTACAGAAAAATGAAATTATGATGAAAAGCAATAAGATGTAGGCCATTGAATGACCCATGTCCTTTGTACACATTACTAGTTTTATATATATATATATATATATATATATATATATATATATATACTATTATACTACTACTACTACTACTAATAACCATAATAATAATACATATCAATGGAAAGAAAATGATTTAAAATAAAATAAGAAAAATAATTAGAATGAAATAATAGCCTTATATAGGAACATGTAAATATATAAATAAACACATTAAAATATTTAACATTTATTCTCTCTAAATTAGAAATTTCTTATTTCCAACCTTATTTTCAATATTATATGTTGATCTGGGCCCAAATTCAATGAAAACAAACTACAATTCATTTAACATTATGTATATTTTTTATATATATATATATATATATATATATATATATATATATATATATATATATATAAAGAAAAAAATGCATATAGATGTATTGTATACGTTTATGTGCTACCATATATGTATATTAATTAGCTCTATTACTTGACATTGGCCACTGTTTTTCTTATACTATAAAGTATTTATATGTATACGATCGATCGTTCTTATACTTACCAATATGTACCCATATTTATTCAGTTATACATAAATATACATATACATACATACATATATATATGTATGCATATGTATGCATATGTGTGTGTGTGTGTAATCACTTTAAACCTTATTTTTAGTAGAAAACCATATTTGAGTGTACGCTCCGTTTATTTATTAACAGTATATCTGTTTATTCTCGTCTACTGGCCTAAATATTTGAAATATACTATTAAAGAAAATTATGCGCTCTCCGACAGGATACGAAACTATGTTCCCGTAGGCATCCTTACGTTCAACATACTTTACACGGACTGAACTATGAAGGACTTATTCAATTAGGTGCATTTAAGCGAAATTATTCTCTTCATAAACTCTAGAAATATTCATATCAAAATGTAAACAAAGCAATTTTCTAAAGAAGTAATGAATTTTATATTTATTAATCTGACAGAATTTTTCACTGTAAACGTTATCTTTATCGGATACGCGTATGTATAAGTTTGGTTAAATCTAAACAAATATCTAAAGATTTTTATGTTTCAGACCGCTTTCCGTGTTTCCGAGACATAATAAATATAAATTGTCCAATGTTTGTGTAATTTTGGTTTTCATAAGCCATTATCGAATAGTACTATGATTTTTGTATTACATCAGTTTCATCGTTCTTTAAATGTCACGTTTTAATGAATCACATCTTCATATTACAGTTCCAGTGGTTTATTTTTATGTCAGCAAGAATGTAATGATCAATCTAATACATCTCATTAAAGATCTCTCTGTTTCAGTTTTTATTTATATTTTTCCATTCTACGATGTATATGCACACATATATACATACACACACACACACACACACATGTATGTATAACAATCCAATTTGTGATGAAATTGTTCATGCTAAACGTTCGACTATCTGTGATCATTAACGGATGAAGTGGTATTCTCAATTTTGTTCAGAATATGACAACTGCCCATAGATTAGTGGAAAGCGCTCGGGACGACCAATCATTTAGACAATTTCTACACTCACAAAGTTCAAAAAAGAACTCTTGACAAATACAATAAAGTTAGAAGTAACAGAAGAAATTTGTCATTTGCAATGAAACAGATATAATACAACGTAGTGAAAATGACGATAATTAAGCATATTTTTAAAACATAGCTCAACAGATATTAGACATCCATTTATCTCACGAGATAAAGAAAACTCATGTTTGGTTAAAATCCACTCCTTTGGTGGTGATACTGGAGTGACTTTTCGAGAACGCATGCTTGGGCGGTGGTATATGGGGGCTGTACGCTGCCCAGGCTAAATGGGCCCTCTTGGATGTATCGACAATTTACTAATGAATACAGGGCATTACACTTGGTGCCGGCTTGACTTCAGGAAGTGTCAGTGTTGCTACATTGTTTAACTACCTTACATTGTGGACGCTTGAAAAAAACATCATAGCTACAACGGATAAATTAAACATTTTAAAATTATTAAATAGAGCGCGTTCACGAGTGTTTACAAAACTCACCAACACAACGATCATTAAGTTTATCTACGAAATTCTCGGAGAAGATCGAAAGTATTTGAGTTAACAAAAATTACGGCGTCTTCCTTGATGAATCTCATTCCTTGATGAATCTTAACTTAATATCAAGAAACTAATAAGAGAACTAAATGGAGTATTATAAAAACAAATAGACATAATATGTCTATATTATTCAATGAAACAAGCTTGAATGAAGATATACTGCTTATATCTATCTATCTATCTATCTATATATATATATATATATATATATATATATATATATATATATATATATATATATGTGTGTGTGTGTGTCGAGAGACAGTTGCTTTGCCTTTTTATTTGTCAGTTCCTACTTTCTTAGTAGAAGAAACAGTACGAATCTTCTGAAAACCATGTGAATAAAATATTAACAGTTTTTCTCAACATTTTCTTTGGAAGGCGTTGTTTTTAAAGATATTAGTCATTTGCATCACAGAATTTACTGAACTCTTTTTGTTTTATATGTTCATAAAGTTAAATTCGTCTCTCTTCAGACTTGTCGTTTATCTTTGCGTGTTAATCCAATACGGTTATTTCATAACAAGTGAAGTCTTTCGATAAGCCAGTCTTAGTTGCTGTCAACGCACATTTGGCAGAATTCAATAAAAACGGATAAAATAGGATTTACGAGACAGTTCGCTGATTTTCAGCTCATTGATTAAAGAAATACACCGGGAAGAGAATGATGTGTACATGAGAAAAAAGTGCCGTATAAACCTATACAAAAGTATATTTAATTGTAAAGGAAACTCGTTATTGATATTTTCTTTATCTTGAACGAAAGAAATGAAATTAAATACAGGTTTATTTATTAGATCAGTAAAATGCCAAAGAGCTATTTGTGTTAGTGAATTGGAAAACAGAAACAAAAAAAAATGTTATATTGTAGAAAAATTCAATCCACGTTAACTTAATAAAAGATTCTTAATACAATATGTCATGGAATCCCCAAGACATTGCAATATAATAGCATTTCTTCATTTGACTGAGAGAGTGGTAGATAGAGGAAAGCGTATAAGGGAATGACAATATATGCTTTAAGAAAGAAAAGAAGGAAATATAAAGAAAATATATAGAATATATGGCAGAAAAAGTGACAGCTGACACGAATCCTTACCTGCAGCCAGCCAGACTGCAAATCGCAGCCAGGCAGCCTGTGACAGCGATGTGATTAAATAGGCATTCAGAGTGAATGAAGCAAGCGGAACAACCGGGACGTAGGGTGTCGTTGCCAGCAGGTGGATCTGATTCCGCGGCTGGCGGGCTATCACTATAACACACGTAACCATTATTGCCAATGAACCGGTCAGTAACAACAGAGCCCACCAGCTATGTCCGTATACAAATGTGCGACCGTGGATAGTAACCACGCATAGAATGACCGAACTAATGATATAAACAATCAAAGACAAACTGAATGTCCGCCATGACTCTTCGCTTGGTTCGCAAGATTCGTTGGGCAATTGGAAAAAACTGCCCAGACTGCTCCAGCTCATAACACTCGATATCCGCTGGTAATTCCCCCCGTTGCTACCGCTTACCCCGCTGGCAATGATCGGTGATGTATCATGTAGTTCAGTACAGATTACAGATTTCGATTTCTGTGTGGCATATGTCTCTTTAGGTTCAATATTTGAAGGATGAACACCGTTGATGTAAGACGAGGAGTCACCCGACTGTTTAGAGAACGCCTCGATGCTTGAATAATAGGCTGGGTTTTCGCGGTTTATACGATAGTTTTTATAAGTTCGGTAACCTGTGTTATTTATGAAGTCTGTCGAGGCAAATCTTAGTGTGCGAATATCGCTCATATTCTCATATTCCTTGTATAAACCTACAATTTCTGAGTCATAACGCAAGCAAAGGACGGATACGCTGACTACTGTGTAGGCTGCGAGTGTACCAATGGCCATCGTTTCGATAAGGGTCTCTAATTTGAAAAGCATAGCGATTAACCCGGACATTATTCCTCCAATCAGAGTCGCCACGGTCGGTGATTTCGTTATTTTACTGACAAAGGAAAGACACCGGAACAAGATATGATCGTCGGCTATTGAATAAAGGAGCCTCGATAGAGAATAGATGCAACCAAGCACAGCGGCAGAGAGACCGCATATACCGCCGATACCGATGACGTAATTGGAACCGAAAATCTGACGAGCTTCGTAGGCGCGGGGAAGTGCGGCTCGATCTTGTAATTTGTACCACGGATAGGCAAGAGTTATGGCCATGGCTACACCAAAGTAGAGGATGAAGCAGGTGATTAATGTGGTCACAATGCTGATTGGAACAAATCGGCTTGGTTCTTTGCATTCTTCACTTGTTGTCGCAATGGCGTCGAATCCAAGAAATGCGACAAACATTGTTGCTGCACCAGCAAGGATCTGCAACAAATCAGAAAAAAAATATTGAAAATAAAATGTTAAGACATATATATATATATATATATATATATATATATATATATATATATATATATATATATTGAACAATAAGAAAATAAAAAATTAAAAGGTTTCTTTGGACATACTGGGTTGTAAATTAATATTTTTTTCGTTTTTTTTTTATTATTATTCCATTTAGATTCCTCGACTAATTTTTCGACCGAAATGGCCATCATCGGGAGGAGAAATATTTCTGCATGCTGGTAGCAGTGAACTACAGAAATGAATGTCTTGATGGAGAAAATGAACTTTTGTCTGTAGTTTTTTTGTTTTTTATTTTTATTTTCTTATCTTTTAACATGAATCTTTTAACATTCCTTGTGTTGGTCAAACAGTCTCTTTTAAGTTGTTATCTGAAATAAGAGCTGGATAGATACATATTATTCTGAATTCTCTGGTCAGTTTGACAGTTTTTTATTAAACCTGGTGAGGGATGTGTCTCTGTTTAGTGTTTGTGTGTGTGTTATTTGGTTCTTAGGGGGGAGTGAGTATGATATGTGTAAAGTGTGTATTGCTGTAGGTGTGTGTTATCATTTGGCTCCTTAGGGGGAGTGAGTGAGTATGATGTGTGTAAGTGTGTATATTCGTGTGGGTGTGTATAAGGTGTGAGGCCTCCACACCTCCGTAAGCATGCCTGTCTTGTGTGGGTGAGAAGTGTAGGTAGATTTTGATTTGTTGACTATCTATATGTTGTTAAATTTATGATTTAGCCCGGCTGGATAGTGTGTTTTTAAACGTTGTATCCACTTATTTTCATGGAAATCTAAAATCTTTCTAATGTTATCTGCTCTGAACTTTTCTATTCTCTCAATTATAGTGAATTTGGCATGGGTTTTGAAATCATGTTTTTCCCGGCAGAAATGTTGTTCTACAGGTAATAATTTTTCATGGGGAGTCTATTTAATTCGCTTACGATAATTATTAATTCTGTAGTGAAAGGGCAATTCAGATTTTCCTACATATTGTTTCTGGCATAGTGTGCATTCTAGGAGGTAAATTATGTTATGACTTCTACAGTTAGAATCGTGGTAGATTTTGAAAGTAGATTTAGTGATTGAGCTAGTGAATGAATTCGTGTTTTTAATATGGTTGCAGCATAAACTTCTTTTGTTGTTACATGGTTGGGAAAATCCTGTTGTTTTTGTTCTTAGTTCATTACGGATTACCTTGTCCCCTGAAATGTGGTTACGACCTATGATTTCTTTTAGGTTCTTAGGTCTACGATATGCAAGAAGGCCGGGTTCCTTAAACAGTTTTTTTAGGTCTGGTTTGAGATGTAGTATTTCCCAGCGCCGTTTGATTATTTGGGATAGTGGAGGCAGAGTGGGATTGAAAGTGGTTACTAGAGGGATGCAGCTAGATTTATTTTTAATCTTGTACATTAGGGTGTCTTCTCTAGGTGTGGAAATTGCTTTATTTATTTGTTCCCTGATTAGGTGTTGTTTATAGCCACGTGTTGTGAATTGATGCTCCAGATTTTCAATGTGTTTATTTAATTCTTCATTGTTGGAACATATCCTTCTGAGTCTAAGTGCTTCTCTTTGAGGTGTTTAGGGTGGGAAGACTTAAAGTGTAGATAGTTGTGGGTGTCGGTTATTTTAGTGTGTAGTGTCGTTTGTAGTTTCCTGTTTTTATCTATGTAAATGCGGGTGTCTAAAAATGTTACTGATGTTGTGGATTTTTCATAGTCAAACTTAATTGAGTCGTTCACTGTGTTTAGGGTCATAAGGAATTGGGTAAGTTTGTCATCACTACACGTGTACACAAAGAATATATCATCGATATATCTTGCATAGAATACGCAGTCGCAGTCGCTACCAATGATTGGATAGATGTGGGTCTCCTCAAATTTTCCCATGAATATTGTAGCATATGATGGAGCTGCGATGGTGCCCATGGCACAACCTCTTATTTGAAGGTAGTGTGCTCCATTGAAGTTGAAAGTATTCAATGTAAGGACATGCTCCATGAGTTTTATGATGACTTCTGTGGGGGGGGGGTCCTGTTTTCTTCTTTTAGTAAGTGCTTCCTGAAGGGCGGCCAGCCCTTCGATGTTTTTAATGTTTGAATAGAGTGACCTAACGTCCATAGTCACAAGAATAGCATTCTCTGGTACTGTTTGTATATGATTAATTTTGTTCAGTAGATCTGTTGTGTCTCTGATGTAGGATTTTACTTCCTTAGCTAGCGGTTGTATGTAATGGTCTATGTATTTGGAAATTTTTGTCGTGTGGCAGTTGAACGATGAAATAACCGGCCTTCCTGGGTTGTTGCTTTTGTGTATTTTTGGAAGGAGATAGAAACGAGCAGGTGTAATGTTTGTGGGTGTAAGTGTTGTGCATGTTTCCTTGTCGATTAGATTTTTGCGAAGCATCATGTTTAGTGAGCTATTTAATTCTTTTTGGTATTCTGGAAGGGGATCTGTAGGTAAGCTTTTATAGGTTTCTTTGTCGGCTAGCTGTTTGTTGGCCTCTTTAATGTATTCTTCGATTCCCCAGATCACTGTCGCACCCCCTTTGTCAGCCTGTGTTATGATTAGGTCATCTCTATGTGTCAGCGTATCGAGGGCTATACGTTCCCCTTTAGTAATATTGTCACGTGGCAGCTTACGTGCTATTGTTTTCTTTATGTCATTTGCTACGGCTAGTTCAAATGTCTGTATAGTAATATCTGTGTTTTGTGGGGTGTAGGTAGTATCCTTCTCTTTTAATGTCTCAAGTATGGAAGGTGTATGATCATTTTCCCCATAGTGGGCTTTTAACAGTATTCTTCTAAAGAAGGATTTCAGGTCCTTTGCCAAGGTGTCTTTATCAAACCTTGGGGGGACTAGGGCAAAAGCTTAGTCCTTTATTTAATACCCTGAATGTATTGAGTGAAAATTTATTGCTACTCAAATTTATAACTCGCCCGTATGGGTCAAGTTTGAATTTGCAAGCATGGCGAAGTTCTTTTGTAAAAGTTCGAAAGCTTGCATCATATCTCCTATTAGGGATGCTATACCCCCACCCAGGTGTCCTGGTTGGGGGCTTATTCCATTTTTTTAAGATTGAGTGTGTTTGTTGTTGGCTGTCTACTCGGGGCTAATCTAGGTGGTCTGGGATGTCTAATGGGGTTATGCGTTCTGTAGAAGGGCTGCTGTGTTTTTGGTTTTGTGTATGTTTGTACGGCACCCTAAGGATGTCCGCGTAAGTTAGTGGTTTGTTTTGTGTGTGTTTGTATTGAGGTTCGCTTATCGTTGATGGTGGCGGTGTTGTTATTGTTGGTTGTGGTGCTGCTGGTTGTCTGTTGGTGTACTTATTTCGTCTGTTTTGTGTTTGCATTGGTTGTGTGGTGGCGGTGTTTTGTTGTTTTCTTTGGGCTATGGTCGTTCACTTTTTTTCAGGGTTTGGCTTTCATTTCTTTTGGATATATCCAAACTTTTATCTATCATCTATCTATATCTATAACTTTTTTGGATATATATATATATATATATATATATATATATATATATATATATATATACAAAAGGTTACATATTTTACATAATAATTTGTAATTACTAACGGGGTTATATATATATATATATATATATATATATATATATGAAAATTTCTCCGATTTAACCAGTAGAGAAGACAATATTTATGAATAAAAATGACAATAGGAAAACTAGTAATTGCTGACGCGTTTCGTCCAATGTCGACTTTATACGAAAATGAAATTAAATGAACAATGTAACTAATAAAAACAAAAACAGAATGATCCGAGCAACTGGAATGTAGAGAAACACTATTTTCATATTTTTAACTGAAAATAACGTCAGTATTCTCCACATTTTCGTATTTTGCTTTGATAAAGTCCACATTGGACGAAACGCGTCAGCAATTACTAGTTTTCCTATTGTCATTTATATATATGTATATATATATATATATATATATATATATATATAGATGCATGTATGTGTGTGTGTGTGTGTTGGATGGGGGTGTTTGTGTTTGTGTCTGTGTGTGTTTGTCTGTGTATTTTCTAAGAAAAAGTAAAATATCACTAAGATACCTGCCGACGAACATACAAATATATTGTCCGGATAAGTTAAGTGAATTTTTCTCTTTTATTAGTAAGTGAAATACATCCATACAACAAACTATTTCTTGTTAACAGTTAATATATTCCAACGTTGAAAATGGCTAGATGTATAGCCGAAAGCAATGGAAGAAAAGAACATTCGGACAGTTTTTATATAATTTATAATCTGAAAAGTAAAAAAAAAAATAAGTCATGGCAATTGAGTTTATTATCAAATGTTTCGTTGATTTTGTTTGTAACGGCAGTTAGGCCATCAGTAGTGAACCCAGAGGAGCGAAATTTCATAAAGCCTTTCACTCACATCGATCCTGATGATCCCCTAAGCGTGAAACCTGCAGACAGATTTATATTTCCTAAGTTTTATTATAGATCACAGAAACAGTTTAATATTTTCATAAATTCTTGATAGCAGTTGTTCCGATTACAGTATATTTAAATTTATTCGTACCTATGTTAGAATACTTAAAAAAAATCACTGGTTATTTTAAGCACGGAATTATGACTTTGAAATTCAACAAAAAATGATGTATTTATTTTGTTATGATGGGGCTTGGTGTTTAGGATGCCATTAATATAAATCATATTTTAATGTGCTGATGGCATAAATTAATGACTGCTTGCAAAATATATAAATTCAATTGCGATATTATGTTGATGAAACTATTTATACATAAATTATTGAATATATATATATATTACAACAATTTCTGGCATAACAGATATTTAATGCAAGTTTTAGAATTTTCAGTTTTTGTATTTTACCCAATTTCTATTGTATAATAACTGTCCTTTTACAAGTATCCGGTATGCATAAGACAGACTTGTGATATATCCATGTTAGTCAACGTGAAAACGTTTTTCTCATTTGA